ACAAAGAACAGCCACATAAAATCTTTGCTATTTAGTGATTAGATTGTGCTAGAAGAACTGACTGAGGAAATTTAGAAATAACCTGACTCAAAAATTAGTCAAAAATGTGTGAATTGTTGGATTTTCAGATCAATTTGTTCAATAAATATTTATTGACTGTATATTATATTATATTACAGGCATTGTTCGGAGTGAGGAAGATCATGAAATCTCTGCGTGGCTTTCCTCTTTTTGAGTATCACGCTGTCTTACACTGTTGAATGAATTTGTTTATTTTACTTTATTAGCTGAGTTAATGGTACTCATTTACTTTCTAAGCTGCTTATTGTGTCACCAACTTTGTGCTAATACTCATTCCATCTTATTAACACCTCGAGCATGGAAGAGTTCAATTTTCGTAATGTAGGTTTAGCTGCCTCTCACCAGTCTTACCCAGAAAATGATCAATAATTTGTGGTTCTTAGAGGGACGTTGGGAAGGAGCAGAATATGAATTCTCCTCTTTGTGTGCTCCTGCCCTTCAATGCACCACTCCTCCAAAAGCATTTTTTGTCATCATGTGGCTGATTTTGCACACGTCCAGGACCTCTTTGTTCAATCAATGTTCTACAAAACCAAAGACTCCTTCTTTCCAATTTCCTTCTCCTACCTCGGACCCCATTTTCTCAGTGCCTGAAAATTTGAACAATAATGGATGATTTATAAGTGATCTTGTAACAGCCTCTTCTACTTGCATTTGGAAGTTGTGTAGAGTAGAAATCTTAAAAAGAGCATCTTAAGATTTTTAAAAATATTTAACCATTTTAACAGACTTTTTACCATATGAACCATTTTAAGTGTACAGTCCAGTGATATTAAGTACATTGACATGGTTGTTCTACCAGCAGCACATCCATCTCTATAGTTCTTTTTCATCTTGAAATACTGAAAATTTGTATTCATTAAACAGTAAGTCCCCATTCTTCTGTCCCTCCAGCCTTAGACCATTACTGTTCTCCTTTCTCTTTCTATGAGTTTGGCTACTTCAGACAGCCAGGGCAAGTGCAATCGTGCAATATTGGTCATTTTGTGACTTACTTAGCATAATGTACTCAAGTTTCATCCAGAGGTACATATGTTAGAATTTCTTTCCTTTTTAAGATTGAATAATATTCCAGTGTATGTACGTACCACGTTTTGTCTACCCATTTATGTGTTGATGGATATTTGGGTTGCTTCCACTCTTTGGTGGAAACATGGATATAAAAATATCTCAATATTTTGGGGATGTGTATCCCAATTCTTTCAAATTTTTTCAGTACATAATTAGAAGTGGAAATGCTGGATCATATGACAATTCTATTTTTAAATTTTTGAGAAACATTTCTACTGCTTAACTTGAACAATGATGCTCTATTTCAAGGAACAGGGAGAGTGAGTGTTCACTAAGCTGCAGTCCCTTGGTGGTTCACTTACACCTAGAAGAGTCTGTCACCCTTGCTATAGAGCATTGCTGCTCAGATACCTAATAATTGGTCTGAAAGGAATGGTCAAGGCACTGCCTAGTGGTCAGCTCCTGAATGGCATTTGGGTATGCTTCATAAAGTTTCTTTCTTCTTTTGTGAAAGAGGCAAATCTACAATTCTTTAATCATTTTTATTAGTTCAGTTTGCATAAATAAAGAACCTGTTAACAGACTGTCTTAAAGTATTCCGAAGGATCAAGAAGAAGTAATATTTCTGCCCTCTGGTCTCTCTCAAATTTACTCTG